TATGTACTAATCAGTTTATTCTATCATTTTGTTAGAAATAACTAATTATTTGWTTTTGTTTAATTGTTAGARCATTTCTTCTCCTTGGAGCAGCTTATATATTAGTAGATAACCTGTTATACTGGCATACCATGATCTTTTAAGAAATACTATTCTATCCCATAAATGAACATTCCTTTGGTATTTCTTTTTAAGAATTCCCTTTATTTGAATTTTTACAACCCTTAAAAATTAGCTAAAATTTCACTAGCATGTTTTGACATMYRAATTSTAAGAGATTTTTTTTWATCTAGTAGTAATTTAGTGTGACATTTGCAAGAACTTGTATGATGGAATAATACTGAATTTAGAGTCATTATACTCATGATCCTGGAAGAAGAGCTCACACAAGTTAAATTTAGTTTTTTTGCACTTGACTGATGTTTCCTGTATGACAATTTCAGTTGTTCAAATACTTATTTTTTTCAATTTTTACAATTGTGATAATAAATGATGTTGTGTTATGTTTACTTATAATTTTCCAGTATATTTTGCTCAATAAATACAAATATTTGAATTAAAGCAAAATAACAAAAGTTATTTCTAAATTATTTTTGGCCCATGAGTCTCGTGCTTCACATATAAGTGCCCCATTTTTCAACAAGGGAAACTTGCCTGAGTCCACCAGTGTACCTTTGGACAGAAGGCATTAATGATAGTGGCRTGGGAATGATAGTAAATTAGCAGTGTTACATATGATTTAATAGTTCTTATGTTATTTTATGTATGTTAGAAAGTTGAAAACAATCCAATTTCAGAAGAGTTTTCTAAGAAACAAAGAAATTCAACTGATATGCTTACTTATAGGGTTGGTTGGAAGGAAGAAAATAAGGATTTTAGKGCAACAGGAAATATAATGTATGGGCTCAGCAAAGCCGCGTCCTCATCACCTGCTTTAAATCTCCTCTATAGGAGAAAAAAAGTATCATTATGCTCATAGAAGGGCTTGCACAGGTACTACTCTTCTCTTGATGTTGCTGGAAAACACAGGGACTAAGGAATATAAGAKATTTTGCTTCCGCAGTGGTACGGGACAGTAGTTACAAAAGCTTTATTTTTCAATATTGTTTTTTCTTCATAAAAGCAAAGTTTATTCACTTTGAAAAGTACCAGAGAGTGGTCATTTATCCCATCTACAATATCATTTTTGGATCAACCCTGTGCCAGGCACTGTGTTGGAAGAGAAATATTGGTAAACAAAACAGGTCAGGGATTCTTAGAGTCTAGCCAAGCAGAGTCTGGAGCAGTTCTGCTGTGCGCACTGTCCTKCTGGTACCAGAGCATGTAGGAAGGGTGGCTGACTCCTCTTGGTGGGGTTTGGGGGAGATGGTTCTTTCAGAAAAAGTGAAATCTGTTCTGAGATTTGAGGAAAAGCCAGAGGACCTGGGACATGTTTGGGCACTGTGCAGGCATGGACATGTGTGTGAGCCTAATAAATTGAAAATGCTTGGAAAAAGACATTACTTTTACCAGAAAACGAAGCTCTGTTTTAGGGTGACTGTTAGTAACTGATGGAGAAAGGCAAAACTGGCTTTCTTCAAAGGACATTACAGAACATTTTTAGAGATAAAATAAAAATTAAAATTCATTGTAATAGCATGTTTAAGGTATGAAATTTGTAATATAATCATATTTCTACAATATGTTTACAGAGAAGGAAAGGGAGATGAGTTGGCTAAGTTACTCAAACCAGGTGTAGTTTCATTTAACGAAGATTTATCCAACTAGTGCTTTTTTTTTTTTAATCCCTAGCAAAAAATATATATATTTTTTTATGGTAATCCTGACCTGTGTTCCAGGAGAAAATAGTGAAAATAACTCACAGTTATCAATGATTTAATGTTAGTAGCATAATGGTGGTTTTGCTTGAGGAGACGTATATGAGAGGGAGGTTAATAATGAGGCTTGGAACCTGAATAGATGGTCATTCCCTGCTCTACCTGTGCTAGTTGTGTGAACTTGGCCAAGCCTCCTCAGCTTTCTTATCTGTAAAATAGGGATATTATTGTGCCCTGAAGTAAACTCTTTCTTTTCTTTTTTTAAACTATAWGAGGCATTTTCTTGGACTAGACATTTTTTTTCCCTTGTATTAGAGGGACAAGCTTGGATTTGCATGCGTTTTGAGCATGGCTGGACAGGGGTATCTTTGCAGTTGTTGCTGCGCGTTGCACTGTGTCGTAGAGTTCTCATGATTTGTTTATTTATAATTGCAGTTATCTGCTTTACAATCCCTACTTTTAAAACTGACTTTTTTTTTCTCTTTTTTATGGTGTTTTGGGTACTAAAAAACTAATTTTTATGAACATTAAGTATAAGAAGTATGTGTATTTTAAACTTAGTCTTCGGTTTAATGTGTGTCATAACTATGAAAGAATTTGAAAACAGGAAAACAGCAGTACATCTTTGAATAATTAATGAAAGAAAAATGCCATATTATTATTAAAATGCCATATTATTATTAAAACTATTATTATTATTAAAACTAATGTCAGTTTATGTGTGATCATTGTTTCTTGGATTTGGTGTTTTTATTATCATAAGTGGATATCAATTGGGGGATATTAGAATACATAGTATTTTCCCTTTGAAATGAATAATTAATGATGATTATGTTTTCGCTTAGAATTAATGAAGCAGGTTACTAGTCCTGGACCTTTGTATGTGTTATTCCCTTTTCTTAGACTACTCTCCTCTACTTTTATAGCATTTCTCATTATTTAGAGCTAAACTGAAACATCACTACTTCAGAGAAATTMTTTTCCTACAGTGGGATAACCCATCAGTTTTATCTTAGTCTGTTTAGTTCCTTCACAGATTTTATCAGTTCTAAGCTATGTTGTTTGTTCTATTTACTTATTTGCTGAAGTACCACAGGATAGAGAGGTGTGGGTCTTATCTACTGCTTCATAAACAGTGACTAGGAGAGTGTTGACCTATCTGTAGTCAGTGTTCAGTAACTATCAGGAGTAGCTGAGAAAAGGAAAGAGGTAAGTAACATCTTCCTTATTGTACAGGGTCACACAGCTGCTTAGAGTTAGCACTGGGATTTAATTCTAGTGGTAATCTATATAGGCCCTATATAGATCCTTCAGAAAGTAATTTCACATATTTTATAACCGAGTCTTCACCATGATCCTGTGGTAGGTATTGTTATCTACACTTTATAGATGATGAAACTGGAAGTTTTTGTGACGTTGAAAAAGACTGGTTACTAGAAAGTAGGAGAGCAGTTTATTTGGTTTTAAGCTCAGTGTTCTCTACAGTAAGTCAGAGATGGTTTTTTATAAGCTTACTTTTCTTGTGTAGTGCCAGACTTTTCCTACAGTTATTTAAACTCTGTCAAAATCTACCTCAATGTGTTTTGATGCATTCCTGAAGGCCAAACAGAAATAGTATGTTCATTATTAGTAAAATTATTTATTTTATTCTATAGTCTCATTTATGTCATAAATTCAATAATCGAAAATAATGTTTAAGAGTTATATGGAATGCTTTTTCCATTTTACTCTGAGGCAGTTTTCTAAGCTTATTTATTTGTTTCAAATAATGAAGGAATTTCTTGTTTGCTTTTCTAGAACTTTACTTTTGATGCAAGAAAACTGATGTATAAGAGTCATTGAATCCATAAGTGTAGTTGTTAGATAATAGTAAAAATAATAATGGAAAAGTTCAGAATTTTTTTTAAGTAGAGTAGATATGGAACCAAAGAAGTTCAATATTGTCCTATTAATATAGTTTTCAAGCATACTCCACATACTCAGAATCTTAAATGATAGACTAGGAAGTGTCTCATTTTTTTCCTTTAGAGGAACTGAAAGCAAATTCTCCCCCACCTGCCAAACCTAGTTGGACCTTTTTCTGTATGCATTGTTATCCAGTTTCCATTTGTATTCCAGGATATTTAGTTAATGTCATGATGGCCTATTTTTTTGTGCCTTCTGATCATCAAAGATATCAGTGATTTTTAATTTTCTAACAATGTCTGAGGAAAAATAGTAATATGTGCTTTCTGTTGAAGTGCTCATTCCTGTCCTGCTTATGGTCACCCTGAATCTTTACTTTTGGACAAAATAAACAATGTTAGCACAATTGAAAAATTGAGAAAAATTTAATTGAATACATTTGTTAAAATAAGACATTTGCATTATATTTAAAAGTTAGACATTCTTAGGGAAAATCTCCCTAAATCTCTCTTGGCTAGTGTTTGAAATCTTACATATTTGCAAAATGTATTCTTTGTCACAATTAGTGGGTGATTTCATTGTAGAATTTTACATAGAAAATTATTTTCCTTTACTTTTAAAAGTATTTAAATTTATGAGATTGGCCTCCAGCTTTGAGTGGTTTTGTTGTGAAGTTTTAATGGGGTGCTTTGTTTTTTGCCATTTTGAGCCTTAATCTTTAACCTGTGATCTGTTTTGTTACTCAGAAACTTTGAATGTCTTTTTTATTCCTTTTACTCTAAACAATTTATCTGATTTTTTTTTGCTTCCAATGTGTGTTTGGAAATGTATGGGGAGAGCTTTGGTAGTCGTCATAGTGATTGGGGACACAGGGGGAAGGTGCTTTTGGCATATAGTGTCTGGAGGTCAGTGAGATTTTCTTGTAGTGCAGGGAACAGGCTTAGCCAAATTGTCAGTGGTGCCCATCTTTGGAACTGTTTTGACTCTGGAACAATATAAGAAAAATTATAGCCTGGAGTTGTGTCACGTCGATAATCCAAGTGACTCCTTCTGAAGCAGGAGAATTGAAAGTTCGAGGTGAACCTCAGCACCTCAGCAATTTAGCAAGACCCTCAGCAACTTAGCAAGACTCTGTCTCAAAATAAAAAGGACTGGGATGTAACTCTGTGGCAAAGGACTCCTGAGTTCAGTCCCCACTACCAAACAAGAAAAAAAAAAAAAGAATACGACCTGCGTGTTGATTATGATGTATGACAAAAAAAGCATTGTTCACCACAGATTAATCACTGTATTTGATGATAAATTTATACAAATACCGTCTGAACAAGAGAGGAATAAAGACGTAGAACAAATTGAAATAGAATTAAAACGATTACATGAAATATAGCCATTTAATACTATCTTTTAGTATATATTGACCACATTATTGCTTTTGGTTTAAAGTTGAACATTATCTGTTATTATTTTTGCTACTTTCCCCTGTATTTCCAAGTAGTACCTGTTCTTAATTACTTTGATAAATGAGACCATTAATTCTTTTCTATAATAGCATATCTGTTTGAAATATAAACAGCCATTCAGATCCAGAAATATTTAAGAAGGAACATATTTGCAAATGCTCTAATATGAATGATAATGATAGCTGTACATTTTTAAATTAGAGCAGGATTCAGAAAGGAGGCAAACAAGTGTCATGTGTGCAGTTTATATGTGTGCAGTTTCATAGCCATTTCTGAGTTAGCAATTTACAGTTCTATTTTATTAATGTTTTGGGACATGAATTACCAGAATAGCATATATAGTATAGGTAGCTACAATATAAAAATGCAAAATTGAGCAACAAATACAAAYGACTTTGGATTACCCAACATTTTTTCTTGGTTCATATCATTGATTTACTTCTCTAATAACAAGGACAATCATATATTAGAAATAGAGGACTCCAAGGAAGTGAAGAGTGGGAAGTTGGAGGAAAATGTTAAAAGAGTAGTTCAATAATTTTTGCATTAATGTGATAATTTTTGGTGTTTTACATTTCAGAACATAGTCCTCAAAATGATAGCAGGCAGTCATGAAATGAAAAAAAAAACTTCTCATTTTGGAAGAGACACCCAAAATTCAAAGTTAGGTTTAGAAAGAGAGACCCCGATGCAAAGGAGATCAGGAAAAGGTCTATCTTATGCAGAGGCAAAAGAAAACCCATTTCCTAAAGAATCCATAGATTATAATAACCAAAACCATGGGAGAATAGAAAACCAAACAGGTAACCCTGGTCATTTTTATGACAGGAAATAATGAACAATAAATAATGAAGCTTTCAGTGGTGTAAAAATTGAAAAACATTCACCAGAGTTCTGTCTGAGGTAATAGTTTCATTGGTGTTCCAAATGGAGAGACAGAAATGTCTCTGGAAGGAAGATGATTAGGACCTGTTAAGCCAGCAAGACCTGTCACTGCTATACCCTGTGATGAGAAAATATTTTGCTATGGTGGACCCCAAAGAAGATTGGGCCCAATTAAGCCAGAAAAAGTGCTAGAATCATCTATCCCTGTGGAGTATGCAAAAATGTGGAAACTTGGAGATGAATGTTTTGTATTTTACCGGGACAACAACTAAGTATGGATGCTGTAAACATGTTAAGTACTAATATTACCAAATGTAACATTCTGGTGGTACCGTAGTGAAAGCCATCACACCGGACTAGGCATTTCATTCTATAGTTTTATCTGTTTAAAATTTTAAGACAGGTTTATAGATATGTAGCTTATAAAAGAGAGGAAAAAGAAAAATATTTAAAATTTTTTGTGTGGGTGCTTAAGCATCCTTCTCATAAGACTTGGTTAGATTAGGTTTCATTTTAGCTTTCATATCAGAAAATTATTGTAAAACTGATTAAGCACAGTCCAACTTTATTTCACTTGTCATTTGCTGAATTATAAAGGTTTTTCTTTCTAGTAATATTTCATTGATTCATAAGGAAGAAAATTTGTGTGGCACTGAATAAAATTTTGCAGATTTTCATTTAAAGAGAACATATAGCATTATGATGCTTTTTAAAATTAAGAGCATATAAGTTAATAATTTATCATTTAATAAATAATAATTATTAGACCATGATTTTAGATTTTTTCAGTTCTACATTATATGGTGGTTAAAGGGAAAAGAAGGAAGTTTTGAGAAAAGGGAAAGGAAAAGACAAGATCAGGACAAGCAGGAGTACAGCAAAGCTTGGCCAGAGGGAGAAGACCAAAACATGAGAAGAGGAAAGACGAGGACAGAGAAGGGTTTTGTACAGTCTTCCTTTTGCTCAACATGTTCTTCTACCAACTGCTYTTCTCCTTGTTGAGGGCTTGGTTGTAACATCAGCTCCTCAAAGAAGTGTCTTTGATCTTCTGCCTCTTCCCTTGTACGTGATTCTCCTTCTCAATCATGCATTGTTTACTTTTTAAAACTTATCACAATTTGTAATATTTTGGATTTTGATTCTTCCATTATATATATCTCCCCTGCCATGATATTAAGTTCTTTAGAGGCAGGATTATGTCAGATTTTCTTCTGTAGCCCATAGCATAGGGATTTCTTAATTGTTTGTTGACTCTATTAATTAGTTAACTTAGGAGAGAACATGGAAAAAATAGAGTGGTAAGGAGTCTCCAGATATTAGCAAAAATAGGTGTAAGAGRGTTATAGAATGGTTAATCAGGGTGGATGTGTGCTTCATGTTAAAAAAAAAAAAACCTTTGAAATAAGTATTTCATAGATAGGGTTATGCTGTGTCCAGGAGAAAGTGGCTTTAGGGAGTGGAGGAGGTAAAGGTAACTGGAGATGTCAAGGAACTGAAATTCAGATAAGGGAAGTTGGATGGATCCTTTACAAGGATGCYTTAAGACTTGGGATCTGGAACCAGGTCCTATTGTGTTCAGTGATCATACGATATAAACATAACGTGGAAGAGACAGGTTGGGAAAGCTAGATGGCATTAACTAAAGCTTTTATATGAATGTGGGTTAGTAATTCTTTAGAAGTAGTGTCTCTGGCTGTCCAGTTCAAGAATAGACGTAAGGGAGAAGTCAAAACCATATTTCTCCTTTTTTTTTTTCCTAGATAAGCTTAAAGCTTTACCAGGAATACCAACAAGATTTTATTTAAACCTCACTGGTTAGAACTATTCCACCTGGCTACTCTCTGACTGTTCAGGAGAATTGGAAAGCGGATAGAGATGTTCTATACTGCCCAGACTCTTACTCCATCAGTTAAGACCACTTACTTTCTAAAATTAAGGAACTGTTTGATTTGGGTAGTGGGGGGATTTCCTTCTATTTAGCTAWCCCCACATTGTAGAGGCAAGAAAAAGTGGTCAAAATTTATCAAACCAACATTGACTTCCTGAAAGGGAATGCACATCCTGTCAGCTAATTTTGTGAAAGGTTAAGGTGATTACAGAAGCATGTTTCTATAGGAATAATGTGAAGCTGTTGATGAACTGCCTGGTAAATGGTTCAGACTTTCAGTGGAGATCTCACAAAGATTGTAGGAGTAAAGGTAAAGCTTAAAGCCAATCTTCCACAAGATCACGGACATCTCCTTGTTACCCTGTGTGCCTGCCAAAAGTAAGAGAAAAAATTAATATGAATGATTGACCACACACACAGATGAAGCAACAAAGAATAACAGGTCTACCTACATCTGTTCAGATAATTGGACTTAGCAGACAAATTCCTTCAACAAATATTAATTGAGTATTGAACAAAACATTATGAGTAGCTGCTAAGTGCCAGGTGCTTGGAATGTATAAGATAATTCAGACTATGTGCTGTCACCCAAATGCTTCCAAATACCTGATAGGATTAAGTTTTAATCTTAATTATAATTATCTGTAAAAATAAATAATACTGAATTAATCTCAGTTGAAAATATTTACAATAATATCATAAACTTTCTAGAATATAATAATAATAATATCCCAAATTTTTCATGCTATGTAAGTATTCTTAGAGTATCTGGATGATCTTTTAATTGACTACTTTTTAAAAATTGTTGTGTATATTTTCAGTTTAGGATGAGGGGACTGTAGACTCTAGATTGTACTCTTAAATATTGGAAATAAGATAAACAATATTCACCCTGTGAAAAACAGAATTAGTTACCTTCTGAAATCATGTAATTTAAGAGGTATCTTTTAAATGTGTTTTCAAGAATAGTCAATTTTCCAGCTTCTAACCAGAGATGGGGTGGGAAGGCATTGACATTAATAACAATAGTGTCTTAATGACAGTTAATAAGGAATTAACTGACATTAAGACACTATAGTCATCTTAATTGCATTGTATTGATATTTTCGAAATAATCAATTAGTATAATCTGTTGTTTTAAAAATTCCTCATGCTAGTCGTGGTGTAATCCCATGGTTTGGGAGGCTGAGGCAGGATGATCACAAGTTCAAGGTCAGCCTCTGCAATTTAGTGAGGCCCTGGGTAACTTAGTGAAACACTGTTTCAAAATGAAAAAAAAAAAAAAAAAAAAAAAAAGGGCTGGCTAAACACCCCTGGGTTCAATCCCTGCTACAAAGAAAAAAAAATCCCAAATACTTTGCCTTCTTTGTAACTTGTTTCCAATGAAGGATCTGAGAATTTGGGGGTAGTTCTCTTACATCTAGACTGCTGAACTACTTCAGCTCTGTCTCCCCTCTGTACTGGAATACTATTAACAACTTAAAATTGTTTTCCTTGCCTTAAACCCCATTATTCTTAAATTTATCAATAATGCAACCACAGTAACCTCTTAGAACATGTCATTCTTCTTCCTTAAAATCTTTCACTTGGGGCTGGAGCTGTAGTTCAGTGGTAAAGCATTTGCCTAGCACATGTGAGGCATTGAATTCGACTCTCAGCACCACATAAAAATAAATAAATAAAATAAAGGTATTGAGTGTATGTACAACTAAAAAAATATATTTTTTAAAATGTTCACTTATTGATTAAAGACAGACTTGAGCATGCATATAGACTCCATTTCTGACCCCTGCATACTTATCTTGTTGATTGAACCATCTTTTCACATCATAATTAATTTAAAACTGTTTTTAGTTTTTTACACTCAGCTTCATGTTTTATGTCTCTGAAACTACTGTCTCAGCTATTTACTTGGTTCAATGCTCTCCACCCTTGAATCCATTCCATCTACTCCAGGAAGTTCCCCCTGAGCCCCTCAGCCTTATCAAGTGCCATATCTATACACCTTTACTACAGTACTTTGTATATTATATAGAAGTTATTTTTATATGGATCATTTCTCTTAAACTGTAAGTTTTTTTTTAAAAATATTATTATTTGGCTTTATTTTGGGAAGGGTTTCTTAAATGATGCCTTTTAAAACTCCCCTCCATGTCAGAGCTATATTTTGGAGAGTTGAATGATATAAAGCAGCAAAGGGAGATACTACAATGTTAAGTTCTTAAAGGCATCAACTTATATTCTTCCTAGGAGATAGCGTGAGTCAGTGCTATCTGAGTTGTGCTAAGTCAGAACTTACTTGAACTTAAGTTCTTAAGTCAGAACACATAACTTGAGCAGTTCACAATTGAAGCTTATGGTCAACACAATTCCCAAAACACAAGAATGGCTAAAAAAAATAAAGGAGATAGAGAGTGTTATGTATACCAAAAACTCTAAGACAAAGAGTTTCTAACATGGTGACTCTGAACTTGTTAACATCCAGACCTGGGGAGGAGACACCATGGATTCACTTAGCACTTCTGGAATACAAAACATAGTAGTTAAATATACTAGCTAAAACCCAATTCTTTCCTGGTATACTTGGGGTAACATAGTTTTTTGGAAGGATGAAAAAAATATGAATTTTTATTACCTCTATTCTGGCAAGCTGTATGAGAAAATATTATGAGCAAAGAAAACCTGCTACCTGTGTTACCTGCAGGTCTTTTCCAAATTGGCTCCTTCTAACTCTAAAACTAATACCACAAAACCAGTAAAAATATGCCCAAGGCAGTTTGGGAGCGCTATAAAATACCTGTGTGTTTCGGGTGCTGTTGCTACTGAATTGTTCTTTTAAACCTGGGAACAAGCTGTTGAGTCCTGATTTTCCATACACATTCAGAACCTGGATTCAGTTGAGACTTTTATGTCCTAAGAAATGTTTTAGAATAAATTGTATCAAACTTTTAGAAATTTATAGTATCTGCTTCTTGCTATCATGAAGTTATGACTGTTAGGTTGTATTTTTTAACTATAAAATTATGATTATATAGATAATGGTTTATAGGAAGATYGGTACTGTCTTCTAGGTGATCATCCTATCTTAAGGGTTTTTCTGTAAAATATTTATTTATTCAACAAATACTCCATGCATGTCTATTAAGTACCAGGCATTATTTAAGTGATATATATATAAGTGATACACAAAATATGCACCAAATTCTGGTCTCTGCACTAAAAGTAAGAAAGTTATAAAATTTACTACAGGAAACACTTAAATCTCTCATTAGGATCTTCTTTTGAGAGTGCAAAACAAAATATTAGTAGAGAAAATCCTCTTATTTACTGAAGTTTTTGTTTAAACAATGTGTAAGTCTTTATTCTATCTTAGTTTTAAGATAC